AATGATCTTCTGAATTACCAGCGTAAAGTCGCACTATAAATAGCTTTAGCTATTTCGAATTTACCATGGTAAAACGATTGATATCATTTGAATGATTCACTCACTCACTTCGTAGTGAGCATTTGTGTAAGCCATCAAAATCATAGAGATATTTGGTGTATCAGCATAGCATTCTGTTTCATTATTATTCATTTAAAATTTGCTGTGCCTTAAATTCTATATTTTTTTTGAGAATTGACAATAAATTATTTTTACCATTTTGCTATTTCGCACACTTTTAAATAAAAAAAAATGGCTAACTGTACTTTTGGCTTTAATGCAGTGCTGACTAGTCTTGAGTTAAATAATCCAGATTTTCAGGATCTGCAAAAAATACAAGCTGAGGTCAATTTTTGCAATGCTTTTATAACAATACGACAGAGTGGCCTCAATGTGCCCGAGCTCATGCCCGAGTATAGCACTGATGTCAGCATAGACCCGACCGTTCTCCGCCAGACTCTCGAGGAATGCGGAGTGCCCGTATCAATAAGGTATGAAGACTTTCTAGTTGGTATGGGAGCCGTTCGCTTCCGTCCAGAAGACTTGGAGGGCATAGGGGACAGCATGAAGCAATTGGTCCTCACAGAGTCCTGTACGGTTGAGCGCGACGGGAAAGTTGTTGGCAGACTAGAAATGCTGTGCTCTCTGCAGCTGAAATGTGTCGACGAGGAAAGGTGAGTAAACGATCTTGCTTAGGAGTAAAGAGCTTCTATTCTTGTTATAACATTTGCCAGGGGGAAGGAGAGCACGTGCCAGCTATTCAAGGACAAAAGTATCAACGAAAAGGATATCCTATTTATTATGAGCGAGTCTCAGCAGTGCACCGATCCCTGCCTAGGTGCATTAGACAGCGTTGAGGACTCTCAATATCTCAAATTCGGCACTCAAAGTTTCGCAAACGAGAATATTAGATGCAAGCCGCCTGCACCTAGGTTTCTTCATAATCCAGTTGGCAATGCTATCTGTTGTGAAGTGAAGGTAACTATGAATAGAGTAAAAAGCTTCAGCAGATGATGTTTAACGAGATTTGTGTGTGTGTATAGGAAATGGCTCAGGACTGTAACGATACTGTTGACGCAATTACGGACAGCTTGGATCATAACAAGAAATTACGACCGCCTTGCCGAGGGCCCCCTGACCCGCTCGGCCATCCTTGCACATTAAATATGCACTACAATTCCTGTAGAACGCCTCTCGAGGAGAGTAATCTCCGGCTTCCATGTTTCACGCGCATACCACCGCTAGATCCGGAAGAGTACAACACACTAAGTGAAAGGAAAAATGAACTTCTGAAGGAAAAACGTTTCTGTCCCATTTGCCTCACCAATTTGACGTGGCTTCCCATATTGGCCGCCTGCCCCAAGTGCGGCCTAAAGCCAATGCTATTGCCTCAAAAGCCCAAAATAATAGTACCCGATGACGATCTGATTTATAGTAATCTTCATCTGCCGCCAGAGGAAACGCCATCAGCTGAGGAGAATCCGAGGAAATGTCGGTGCACTTGCAGGGCCGGCAAATTGTGCCCCTTTTGTCGGGTTCGCGAAAAGGTGGCCGACTTTTATGACATTGAGAAGCCGCCCAGGGAGTCTCTCGTATACGAGAACTCCGACGAGGAAGTGTCTGAGGTGGGCGTCAATGAAGCAGACTCTCGTCCATTTCTATCGCGCGTACTCTCCGAAATACGCGACTTAAATAATATCAAGGATATCAAACCCTTCGACGTTGTCCAGAAGGAGTGCGCAAGGAAAGAGAAAGCGGAAAGAATGCAGGCAGGGCGACTGCAAGCCGGTACCTGTGGCAAGGGTGAGAAGAAACCTACACGCGCTCCCATTGAGCGTAAAGCTCCGACCAAACGCAGATCCTCCAAGCCCAATCGAAGAATTTCTCCCTCCCACAAGAAATGCGCGAACCGTGTGCCCAACATACCGGCCAATCACGGCTGGAACTGGTACGCCAGCGAAGAGGCACTCAAGCACGGCTGGCAGCCAGGGCTCGTGCGCAAGCCGATTAAAAAAATTATGAAATTCTTCTTACAGGGCCCACCTGAGAAATTGGCCGCCGAGAAGTGCAAGGAACTAATGGACCTAGAGAAGCAAGTCCAGCCGCCCATTCTCAATTTGCGCAAGAAGAACGGCGAAATCTTCATCACTTTGCGCGCCCTCGACAATCCGCATGTGACCATGAAGCCGATTGTCTTCAAGGTGGTCAAAAGTGACCTGGGCGTGGCTCTCAGCCAGATCAAGAAGAAGTTCAAAGCCAAGGGATTCCGCAAGTGCACCTGTCACAAGCCCTTGATGATGTGCGTATGTCGGGATATCTTCGAGAAGAAGTGCCTGGAGGCCGCGCTGCAGAAGGAGTGCAAGCGCCGGCATATGGAGAGCTGTGTCGCTCAGTTGGTGCTGACGGACACCAGCGACAGTGAGATGGAGTTCGACTTCGATGTATCCCCGCCAGCGGCATCGCCCCAGAAGTATGTCAAGCCCAAGACGCATAACCATGAAACGCAGACGGCCGCGGCTGACTTGAAAGTAGCTCCGAAATATCCAACTGTGATCGATCCCTATTGGCGCGTCTACGACTGTGCTGCAGGCGATCGGTACACCGGCACAGCGTTTGGCAAGCCTGGAGAGCCTGTGTTTGAGGATGGCCTTTTTGGTCATGGCGGCGGTGGACCACACGGGGCCTCTGCGGCTCCGGGTGGAAGACCGAAGCCACCCGGCATATGGGGCTCCGGCCATGGCGGGCCCATGCGTGGTGGCGCCGCTGGTGGTGGTAGAGGTGGTGGCGGACGAGGCGGTGCTGGTGGTGGCATGGGTGGCGGCCATGGCGGCCCTGGCGGAATGGGAGCACTATTCGACAAATCGTTCCCCGGTCTTAAGAAGAAGGGAACTGGGAAATCCGCTCCCATCCCTGTTCGCATGCGTGATAAAGATATTAAAGCAGTTAAAGATGCTAAGCAAGCGGCCAAAGATGCGATTAAAAACGAGATTGCACGCAAGAAGAAGGGTATTGATCTTATTCAGTATTTGAGAGAAGACGGTGCCCTGCCTAAGCCATGGGATCCAAACAACCCTCAGCCAAAGAACCCGAAGCCAATCCCGCCCGTCGTGGCACCCGACGGACTCACCTACGAGGAGCACAAGAAACAACTCATGAACTCGATGATTATGCCACCGCTCGAGACGATGCCGCGGCTGGGCAGGGGCTACGACCCCTGCCAGTACTACAATTCCTGTATGACCCCGTGCTGCTATCCGTGTTGCTACTGCCCGTATTACGGCTAATCAAGGTGAGAAACTAACGCACGTCCCCACCAACAACACCAGCCATACATTTGCGGCCTATTTGCATTCAGCGCCGATTTATGCAAGCAGTTTAAGCCTCATTTGGTGCAGCTATAACTGCGCTACGTGGGGACATCACACACTCGCCCTGCATGTAGTGCATCAGCTGGAAGTGTATCTAAAGACGGTGTGTCTGGATATGGGGGCGAGGCCCTAATGGCAACAGTTAGTCTGGCATATGCTGAGCGAAATTCGTTGATCTGGACGTCCTTGCCTATCTGGCAATATTTCAGCTTTTAATAGTTTTCATGATGAATGACTCGACGTTGCAGCGATGCTGTTGAAAATGTTGTCAAAGCCGGAAATTAACGCGGCAAATGAATCAAGATTCATTTTACATTTGGATAACCAAATTTTCACGATTTTTTATGTAACAGACAACAAATTTTTATACATTTAACAATAAAAGTTTTTTTTGATGCAACTCATTTAACAGGGCATAATCAATTGAATGACTTCTGAGTAAAATATCTTTGATAAGTCATTTTTATAGATATTCAGAGTACATGTATATTATTTGTTAAAACATATTAATCAAACCCAAGAAATTAGGACAGACTAAGGCTCATGTATTAGCTACAAATTGCACACATGCTTAGCATTGCGAATATGCAAAGCCTAAGCAGCTTAGGCTGCACTCTTGATTAGCATTCCATCAATGTGTTTTGCTACTCACAATTAGTATACTGAAACAAGAACAATAATCAACAACAATTATAAGTAGGCACTCGGGCTGTTGCTATTGCTTCTCTCAAGGACTTTGATTTCGAACGGAGGCTGGTATATGATTGGATAAGCAGAGTTGGGAGCAATATGAAGCTTTTAATGGGTAGGGATGAGTTGAGTTGCGTAAATTAGACTCTGTAATCAATCCTGCTTAATGACCCGCGCTCTAATACGGAAAAAGGGAAGATATGAACAACAAAGAGTTCTCTAATCGCAAGTATGCAAATGTGAGATACCCTTAATCAGTTGCCTCTATGCTTATAAACGATTTAGCCTTAGCTTCCTTTCATACCCACAAATATTTAATCACGCTTGCCACAGGCACTTTACACTTTACTTTTATATACACCTTAATTTCTTCCCATTTCCCTGGAATTATTCTAAATTTTTGTGCATTTTTCGGAATTATTTATTTTCTTTTTTTTACCTTTGCATTAAATGTGAAATGTTTAAGCGCTTGTAATATGCTCAATTCATGTTAAAGAAGCTTGAAGAGATTTTTTAAATTTCAGCCCATACTCATATTAAATAACAGACAGAAGGACTGACAGACAGACATTCTTGAGGAGACCTAGCTGCAGAGCCTTGAGCAAAAATATATACATAGATACATTTGTACAATGCCAATATACCCTGTTGACGCATTTGCAATACTTTGTGGGCATAAGCAGGTGAGGCGGAAGGAGTGGGACCCAAAAAGGTATCAAATTCACGCAAATACAAAATTTTAATTAAAGACATAACGGCAATTAAGCAAAAAGTCGCAAGGAAACAAAGTGACTAAGAACGAAAGCTTAAGTATAAA